GACAAGAAAGTTCTTTCAAACATTTCAGTGTTGCTCTACAGAGGATTGTAGTGCATATTTCTCTCACATACTTGATATCAAGATTGTTTAGATTGAATCGAATTTACTGTTCAGTGTGATCCCCTAATGTCTCTGATGTAGTGTGTATTCTAGTATTCTCCAGGTACTCTTTTATTATAATGATCATAGTTGTCATGTAGATATATCTAATTTATTGAGTAGATTTTATTAAATCCATAATTTCGAACTTAGGTGTTTAATTTCAATTGTTAAGAATTAATGAACTAACGAAGCAGTGAACAATTTGAAGGGTCCTATTTGCTTTTGGGAACATTTTAGACTATTTGGCGATAACAAGAGATACGTGATATTCATAATCATGATTATTCATTTTATGATACCTAAGAATGGAAAACAGTTAACTAGAACCAAATACATAAATTACTTTCTATTTGTTCTTCACATACATATAATGAGTTTGTTAAATAATGAAATAAACCATCCAGTTAATCGACCATCGGTCATCTGGTCTTTACTATTTGCATAACGGAACTCTTAATATATTAACGTAGAATTAGTGAAGTGAGAATGTACACAAAAATTTGTACCTAATGTCATCAGACAACTACCGTTTGGTTTCTGTTATTAAAAGACCAACTGGTAAACCAATCTGGTATACATATATCTGTAGAGTGATCAAAAATAGTAACTGATGTGGACTACAAATACCTAGTGGGCTCATATACAGTTTTGAATAGGTCAAACAACAAAAGTTTCCACTCATTTCCCCCAATATTCTTACATCATTACTTTTGATTTAAAATTGATAACTTAATTCATGCATGCTTATAGCAATTTTCAGGAATGGCATATCGAATTTTTTTCTTAAAAATACTAAATTCATCATTATTTGGAAAACTTCTTTTCAATTCGAAGAAATTCTCAGATCATTAACTCAGGGTGGTCGTGGTTCAGATTTTTCAAATTATTTTTGGGAAGTGATATCGAATAATTGTATTCAACTAATGGTGAAGTGAAGCTTTAACATTCTTGAGATATTCTACTTATGGAGGTTTATACAAACCAAGTTATTGTATGATTTTTTTGAATATTCATTGTTTGTTTCGAGGGTTCATATGAACCTCAATAAAACATCTCAATTTGAAGTGATAATCTCCCTAATCTTAAAAACTTCGAAATGTTCCATTTGAGAATTGAAAGTTGATGTCACTTCCGACCATATGATTCCATGAACAAAATACAACCACCAAGTATCGAATGTACCTTTTATACCTGTAAAATTTTCAAAATGTTATCTTGAATTACTCAAAGTTAACCTGTCTCTTAAGAGGGTCTGAATTTGATATAAAAAGCGAGATACAAATAAGTAATGTATTGTCAGTTGTACGATGAACTGATGATATTCTTCATTCAGGGTGTGGAAAACTGAGACAAACCAATCACGAATCTGTGATTAGAGGTCTGTGAAAGCAAATTTCAATCGTTCGATGAACTGATGATATTCTTCATTCAGGGTGTGGAAAACTGAGACAAACCAATCACGAATCTGTGATTAGAGGTCTGTGAAAGCAAATTTCAATCGTTCAAGTTCGAACCCCTTGATTGGGTATGAAAGAGTTGAAAAGGAATGTCATATCTATTCTCAGATATACTATGAACATGAACAAATTCAAACAAATAAATACATTGAGAATTCGCTTTTCGATATAATCAACCGTGTGTGTTCAATAGATGTAATTCAGTGTTTGTCGTGGCATATGACCAGAAAAGTAGTTGTTCCCTGTCGTATATATCGAAAAAGAATTCATATTTTTATCAGAGAAATCAATATATTTCTTTACGTTTCCTTCTTTTCATATTCATAATATATCTGAGAATACTTATTTCTTTTCCAAATCTATATATTGTTTTTTTTCCATTGAACTGAATTCCTAAATTCCGCGAGTCATTATACGTCATCAAATGGGTCAAAAAAGCATGAAGTGGAGAATAACTCATACGATTCATCATTCTAAAATATTTAATCACTTACAAGCATGGAGTAAAAGATTATTAATCAACATAGAAACATAATGTATGTATATATATACTATTTCAGAGAATTCTAGAGGGACGAGAAAAGAGAAAAAACCACATAAGCTCGTCATATTAGTTCGCAAAATAATGGTTTTCGTTGTGATCGTCACAGTGCTGAATTTCCTCCTGAAGTTTTACTATGCCCTCTTAGCCAAAAAATACCTACTTCTCAGTTCCGGATATTTCTTGATCCATCTCGTAAAGTCGTGGTTCTGGATAAAAAATGCCAAACATGGGCCTGCACACATCGAGTATGACGACCATCATTCTTATCACAATGTTGACCACCATGATCATTTCGGGGGAGAATATGATGACGAGCACTATTATGACGGACCTGGACATTTGAAAAAATACGACGGTGCCTACGACACCGTTCAAAAACCATACGAAGGAGCCTTTCCATCTTGGCTTTAGGTACCTACACCACAGAATGATAATAATTATCTTTGGAAATTCGATGGAGCTAAGAGACTGGATATTTATTTTCGTGTTGATATGTACATATTTATCACTCACTGTTCGTTAATTTATTTATTTTACTTATTTATTATCAATAAATAGTTTTACTCGTCTAATAAATATGTATTTATTCCAGTAGCTCTTTCACTAAGATCCACCAAGGTTCTGAATCCAATGAAAATGTATAAATATTTGTATTAAGTATACAATGAGGTGGTTCTGTGAATTTTAACAACTCGAACAACGTCGTATTTCGTATGTTTTTCTTATCGAGGCACCAACTGATTCCGCTGAAAGTAATCTCGAAGTTTATTGGCATGAAATAATCATGGCTGTACTTGAATCACTCATTTATAATGTATGCTTCGTGAACGTTAAATAGTCTAGCAGAATACCACTCTGTTCTGAATATCTTCTCATAATTCCGTCGTTCATTGTTAACTCAATTGTGTTGTCGTACAGCAATATTAGCGACAGAATTATCTCCAATATTCAGAACATCGTGATATTACTAATGACAATTTAACTCATGTATGAAAAATCCCATAACCCGCTGTGATTTTGTCATTATGACAGCGAAACAACTTTGCCATAAGTTTTCCAGCGACAAAACGAAAACTTACTTTCGTAACCATGACAACCAGAATTATTGTGAAAGAATCTCTGATGGCGTTTATGTCAATCTTTCCCAATCTTGCGTTGTTCGAATAGTATGTAATCTGTGGAAATGGCGCGAGGAGAAATTGAAAAAGCAATCAACAGTAATGTGATTAACGCATTCATCATTGGCTTACCGACTGAAGCAATTTTTGGTTCGAAATAAACTTAATAATGAAAATTAAACTCCAAAGACTTAAAAAAAATTGTTTGTCCTACGAACTACTAATTTTTTTGAAGGCAATTAATTTTTTTCGATCAATTTTCAGGCAACAACATTCTAATTGAATTGTAAAGTTTACTTCGACAAAAAAAGCTCTCGTGTGACAATAAGTGACAAAACGAAACCTAACATTTGAAACCATGACAACCAGAATTGTAAACGAATCATGGTGGCCTTTATGTCAATTTTTGCCAATATTAAGTTGTCAGAATTGTATCTAATCTGTGAAATGTCGCGATTTGGAGTGCTGCGAATGGAGAAATCGGAAAAAAACAATATTTATATGATTACGTTTTCATCAAATGTTCTTAACGAATTACACTCGAGCATTATTTCTTGGATCGAACTAAACTTGAAATGTAGAATTCGAGTTTTGTTGCCTTTCGGAAATTTAACTCAAAAAATTGCCACAAAAAATTACTCGTCCTACGGACGAAGGCAATTATTTTCGTTTAATTTCCAGGCAACAAAATTTTCATTGAAATTTAAAGTTTACTTCGACAAAAATCAAGGTCTCTGAGAGTTCACTGTCTTGTTGTATAAGTATTATAGTAAAATTTCTCGCTTCTAACAGCTTCATATCAAAACAAAGTAATTCCATGTATGTCTATAACTACTTTATGAAAAAATGATTATTTATGAATGGTTGATTAATAATCTGTGTTTTAGATAAGCATAAAAGCAGTAACGGTATCCCATATATTTTTTTATATAACAACTGTTCAGAACCGATAGTTTTTTCATCAAACATAAAATGAAACGTACCTCCGCAATAAATCTCAAGAATTTTATCACTGATAGGGAGTCCAAAAAATCTTGTTAGCTCATGAAAATGTCATACAGATACAAATGATTAAAACATGATGGTAAATTATCCACAAAAAATATACCGTTTGATTAGAAGTAGGTTATGATGGCTTTATGATATTACAATTACAATTCTAGATGTTTAATATACAACAACATCTGAATATTAATTTTTGGGATTGTCAGGTATCATGAGTGAGGTCATAAAAATGAGAAAAAAAAACGGTAATGGCATGAGAATAGGTTAAGTTCAACGTAAAAAAAAAAACTCCATCAACATCATTGGACGATGTCATCACTAACCCATCAGTAATGTGTCAGTCAAGTAAATATACATATTCTCATGATTTGTGAAGGGGCATAGATATTTTATGCCTCTCGGTTTGTCTATTTCCATTCTTTAATTTGTCATTAACACCATTCCATTATGATGAATGGTACGGTATATACCGGTATATACCCGCACCTAACCTAGGTATTAAATTATTGTAGGTACAACTTCTGTGTAGTACTTACCTACCTAATATATACGCCAATGCAAATTGCAACCGTAAAATTCCGCTTTTCATGAATGGTATAGGTATTTTTCGAGGCACTGTAAGTATCTATAGGTCATACGGAAACACAATAGGTAAACCTACAAACATACTGGACAATCACATTTTACACCAAAAAACGAAACATATCATGTTCATTCCCATTTAACGATCATTGGGACGAGAATTTTGTGATCCTTTCAGCATCAGCAAAGCAAATGAGAAAGAAAAAGAAAGAAGGTCTCATTCACAAACTCATCAAGCTTATACATAAGATCATACTCGGAGTGGTCATAGTGGCCGTATTGAATTACATCCTGAAATTCTACTATGCCGGCCTGGCTTTCTTGAAATGGCTAGTTTCCTTCAAATACCTGATCCTGAAGGCCATTGCGTTCTGGATATGGGTTAAGCATCAGAAGCACGCGGAGCCGGTGGTTCATTTTGAGCATGCGCACCACGATTTCCATGGACCCCATGACAGCCATGAAGAGTATGAAACTTCTCATGACGATTATGAAAACCATGAGCATCCATACTGGGGTAGGGAAGACCGAGCTCACGAGATGGCTTATTCCAAACAGATATCGTCGAGTAAAGGCTCCTCAGATTCTTGGTTTAGTAAATAATAGTATGTGATTATGTGATCAAGGTGGATTAGTCACCATCTTGAATGTTACATGAGATTAGCTCTTAATTTGTGACCAAAATATTCATTTTTCAGGCTTCTTTGTTGAATGTCGTCTCTATAATATTAGTAACATTTCAATATTAATTATTAAATTTTTCGCCCCAAAATATCACTGATGCTCATAAAATAATTTCACAATTAGGAACCTAAGAGGAAAAATGTATCGGTCATTAGTGATACCTTGTATTGAAAAATGTCTCGAAAAACTATAGAATTTTTCTCATCTTTGGGCGATTCGATTAATTGTTAATATTGATCTCTTCGTTATTGGGAGAGACGTGCAGAGAAAATCCCAAGAATCTATGGTACCTAATGATTATTTATTCAGTTTCTCATTAGTTTTACATCTATTTATCTACTTATATTTATTTATTTATATATTTATTTATTTATTCATTTGAGAGTTATTAATACGTTAAGGTTATATTTATATACGTATATGTATATAAAGTGATTGTTTGGGCATTTTTCTACTAGGTCAATTCAATTCATATAAGAATTCCTATTGTTGCTCCAAAGATTGACCAAAGTATTGATAGCGTTAATCTTCTTTGGTATTGATATGATACAACCCACAGGTTGATTGTTCTGTGAGAATTCTATATTTATTTGTTGTAAACTAAAATGATTATGTATTTCAAACCGAATCGTGAATAAAGTATTATTATTATCATTATTATCAATATAGGGTAGACCAGGGTCGGAAGTACCAGGCGGCGAAAGTAACAACTCAAATATCTGAAACTAAAAATACAACTGCGCTTGCGAGATGGCAACACTGCTGAACTGTTTTGTAAAAGGGCCCGTAGTTGTTTTCAATGCTCTAAAGTAGGTAATATTTTTCGAGTTCTTTTAAAGTAAAATATTATTTTTTTGAATGCAGGTATTTGTACTTCATCGTATAATTTAGATATTTCTGGATAGCTTGACCACAACTGATTATCAATTTTTGCCCCGATCATCCAAAAGAATATAATGGCTATCAAAAAGTACGGTCGGAGGCAATAATTGTAGCCCCGCCAAGGATTGTAATTACTAATATATTTTTTAAATCCAAAATGCCTCGTACGAAGGTAAGGGGAACCATTTCATCTATGGGAGAACTGACGAAGGTTCCAAAGATATATTAGGAGTTAAGGCGTTTGCACCAGTGACAGTTAGACTTTTCTCCAAGGCTCCACCTAGAAGAGAAGGAAACAAAGGTAACAAGAAGAGAAAATCACCTATATATAAAACCGCTACCCCTGAGACAGCAGAAATCAGGGCACAATATGAGGAGAAAAAAAAGTGTTGAGAAGAATGTTTCTGGCCCTAAACCACTAACAAAAAAATCAACCCAAGAAGAATGAACCAAAGAAAGGATGGAAGGAAGAATGAAGCGACGAAGAAGACTATTTCTGCCTTGTTCGCTTTGAATCAACACTTCAGGTAAACCAGGGCCCTAAACCAATAACAAAAAAATCCTTCCAAGAAGAATGCAGCAAAGAAAATGGCAAGGAAGAAGGAAGCGATGAAGAAGATTATTTCTGCGTTGATTCAAAGCATCATACACTTCAAGTAAACCAGGGGAAGGATGAATGCTTTGAGTGCAAGCGATGGTCACATGAATAATGCTCAAAACAAGAAGACTTATATATTTGCCATGAGTGTTATTCAGATGATTACTTTTATCTTCGAAAATGCAATATTACTTTTTTGTAGTTCAGATGCGACCGTGCCTGTAACAACTTTCATACCTGGTTTAAATGACTTTTTTTCAACTTCTGACCACTATGGAACCCGCAGAGTGTTACAATCGCCCTGTAGTTGGCGGCGGTAGGAACATGTTTCCTTACTTTGATTGAAAAAACTGAATGGTACGTATCAATATTGTTATATATGCAGTGAATGTCTGAGCGAGAAATGTATTTGATATACAGGGTGCCCGCTAAAAGGAGGTCAATCCATTAACCATATATTCCTTGAACAAAAACATTATGAGTTTCTAAATACCATTTTTCATTTTAGCCTTTCATATTCGATATACAGGGTGTCAAAGTTGGAAATTAAAAACAGTTTGTTTCTAATTACTCGCGTATTTGATAAGATATTGATCTCAAAATTGGTACATCACTTCAGCACAAAGAGTTACATCGTGTGAAGAAAACAAAACAGGAAATAACTGTCAAATATTCAAAATACTGGGGGTCAACTACACACTGACCCCCATATTTTTTTTATACGTGCGCTAATGACTTCCTATCTATTTTTCTTCAAGTGTTCAATCATTTTTGAGTATTTTTTGCGTCTTGTAAAATTTCGATAAAATTATTTGTTTTTATGATAATTCGAAAAGTACTTATAATTATTGTTTGATGCCTATGCAGCTTACGGTAATCTCATAATGTTCACATTCTCCTATTTATTTCGTCGAAATTGAAAGAGGGCGTAACTTTTTACGTAGAAAAGGTAAATATGGAAATACCGGATGCTCAGAGCGAATGTATAAAAATAATTTTTACAAAAGAAAAAATGCAAGGACTCATGTCGAATGAAATTTTTTTGCAAATCGAACGGCGTGAAATTTTTTTGATGCGGTCAAATAAAAAAAAACGTTGTTTAGAATTTCGGGTGAATAATGATTTTGGGAGGATGGGGGGTCGATTGACGAGTCCACCCTTTTGAAGAATCATTGAATTGATTTTTTTCGAAAACAGCAAATTTTTCAAAATTCTTTTAATATTGGTTGGAGCGGTTTTGGGGGGTGCGGAATCTTTAACAAATATTTCCGAGCCCCCTCCGTATGGTATGTCAAGCGCGAACGAACGGGAAATAAAATCGATATTTTTGGTGGAATTATGATATCCATGATTTTAATAGCTACTTGATGAAAGAAATAGCAGATCAGGATTGTCTGGGGATGTACGAAATATTTTGTGTACCTAGAAGCCACATATTTTCCAAAGGCTAAGATTTTCTTTAAATAAAAGGGCTCGCATGTGTATTCAAAGAATTGGAGGTCAGTTGAGTTTCTATAAATTTTTTTTTGGAAAAATTATTTTAATACATTCGCTCTGAGCACCCGGTATTTCGATATTTACTTTTTCGTACGTGAAAAGTTACGCCCTCTTCCAATTTCGACGAAATAAATAGGATTATGTGAATATTATGAGATTACCGTAAGCCGCATAGGCTCAAACAATAACCAGTACTTCTCGAATTATCTTAAAAAAAAATAATTTTATCGAAATTTTACAAGAGACAAAAAATACTCAAAAATGATTGAACACTTGAAGAAAAATAGATAGGAAGTCATTAGCGCACGTACAAAAAAAATATGGGGGTAAGTGTGTACTTGACCCCCAGTATTTTGAATATTTGACAGTTATTTTCTGTTTTGTTTTCTTCACACGATGTAACTCTTAGTGCTGAAGTGATGTACCAATTTTGAGATTATTATCTCATTAAATACGCGAGTAATTAGAAAAAAAATGTTTTTTATTTCCAACTTTGACACCCTGTATATCGAATATGAAGGGCTAAAATGAAAAATGGTATTTAGAAACTCATATTGTTTTTGTTCAAGGAATATATGGTTAATGGATTGACCTCCTTTTACCGGACACCCTGTATATTACAGTTCCCCGGCTATTTGTTTTTGAATTGACAATGTTACTTTCAACCCTGGTCTACCTGTGGCTTGGCGTGTATTTGATTCTTTCGGTTTTGTTCCACTTGCCTCTTTTACCTTCAACAACTGTGCTTCAACACTCGTTCAGAAATCTACCACCTACCACAGAACTGGTCTATGAGTTCTGTGCCACCTACATTTTATTACTTATGTGTGTTTTAACACCGGTTTCTACATTTTGATGCATGAGTAAAATGTGTTACTACTATAGTAAACTAAATAATGCGTTGAGTAACTCAGGTTTGTGAATGTTTCTAATGACGTGATAACGAAAAACAAACATGATATAAGTTCATTTCTTGCATGTAATGTGATGACTGATTCAGATGTAATATTTTAGCTCGGGAAAGAACTACGGCTCATCGAACGAAATATAGACAATTAGCAGGAAATGGTTTGATAAAAAAAATGATTAGGTTGATAAAATTCTTCATCTTTGGGATCGTCGTGGTAGTCAAATCTTTTCTACTGCTCAGAATCATCCACGCTGCTATCAAGTTCAAATACGTGCTGATATCATTTGGATACCTTATCCTGAGTGCTGTAAAGTTATGGCTGAGAGAAAAGAGGAATGCGAGTACAAAAGTGGTTTATCATCAGAATGCTCAGAATTACTATCATCATGATGTTGATACTGATTGGATGGATGATAGCTGGAAACGTACTGATGATCACGAAGAAACCTACAGGGGACATTTTCCGTATCAATAATTCTAATTTTTATACATCCTCTGAAGTCTATCCAGATTATCTATATCCTACTACAAAAAGAAGACTGATTTTGTGTTATATATTGTGTTTGTTTATTTCCTTAAATAAAATATTTATCGTCTCATCATTGTATATATATATATATAATATATATAGTATTATGGGATAAAATAGTTTCACAAATGCACAGTAGTTCAGTAGTGAACGACGTCACACGTTTTGAAGGTGGAATGGTTCTCAGTAAAATTTCCTTTGTTAGGTTTTTGACAGGTTATTGTATCAACTACGAAATATTGTATCAACTACGAAATATTGTATACTCGTTAATGGACTGATATACAAATACTGATGAGCGTTCAAATTACGAATCAGTAGTAATAAATATTATGGAATCCGCAGAGAAAAATGCAAGAAATCCATGAGATTTTATCTATACAGTGTTAGACCTGGAGGCGACAGGGTTTTTGCATGTATCATAGGCCCCACGCCGAGGCTTTGGGGGCTGATAGACAACGTTATTCCCCACTTTGAATTCCCGGTATGGCACCCCTAAAGTG